GTAGGAGTTTAACCTGCTACAATATCCAGAACGAAGTTGCGCGAGGGTCACTCTGGTTTCGCTAGGCAACTCGAGCTATACGTCTGCTATGGGTGGTGGTTTGACTCGTAGTACGCCATTCACTGAGAGGGAGTCGGTGAAGGTGTTGATAGCTCCACTGTGAATGGCGGTCAGTGCCTGTGTGTAGTTCGTTGCATCCGAAGTCCGGTCGGCGTATTGTCTAATGTCGTCGCCGTAATCAAGGAAAGACCTCTTGACGTTCCTAGGAGGCGACTCCGCTTCAAGCAGACGACTGCAGCGGTGGTTTCTACGAAAACAACCCAGCAGAAACTGCTTGGAGAGGAGCTCGTTATGTTCCTTAACCGGAAGCATACGGGCCTTACTGTGTAGGTGTGTTCGATTGGGGACATCAAAAGGCATCCCGTGATAGTCCGGAGTGCAGTGTTCTGACAGGACTGGAGCTTCTTCGTCTGGGTAGCACTACATCCAGGCGACCATATTGGGACTGCATAGTTTAGGACCGGCCGGCCGATTGCCTTGTACTTCGCCAGCAAAGTTTCTTTGTCTTTTCCCCAAGAGCTGCAGGCAAGCGATTTGAGGATTTTATTGCGGCTCTGTACTATGGCAGTTATCGCGTTCGTGTGAGGAGTAAAGGAGCAAAGACTGTCTAGTGTAACGCCTAAAATTTTAGGGTTATTTACCGTCGGAATTTTGGTACCATCGACTGAAATGTTTAGATCCAGTCTGTCCAGTTCATAAATATGGTCGCTGTGGATTTAGTGGGGGAGAGTGTCAGACTCTTTGCAGAGAAGAAGCGAGAAAGATCAGAGAGATAGCCGTTTACTTTCGAGCACATGCCATCGATTCCATTGCCCGACGTCAATATCGTGCAGTCATCAGCTTACGAGGTCACGGAAATTCCCTCTGGTGGTTGGGGAGTTTCGACACCGGTGGAGAGGTTGCAGGACTTCAGGTGCTCTATCCATTTTGTGCGCTTATGATGGTTTACCATTTGCTGAATCTCCAAATTGAGATCGCTTATTCGGGGATCACAGGGATCAGCATGGCGTAAGGTGTCGCGCTCGTTTGCGAGTACAGCTGCTTCGGCTGGGAAATTAAGGCAGAGTTCCGCGATTCTACCAGCCGGTATAAAGCGAGCAGTAGCAGCAGCGATCGCCTTGCGGAATGGACGCTCGCCAACGATGACGTAGGAATGGGTTGTGCGTTGAAGGTGCTCTCGGTAAATTCTGTGAAGCCGACCCAGTTAGCTTTGTTAAAGTTAATAAAGGTGCGGTTGTTTACAGAAATAAAGTCAGGAGGTTTATCAATCGAGATAATTATGGGCAGATGGTCTGATGCGAGAGTTAGCATAGGTCGCCAGGTTATGCTATTTATCAGACCCCCGCTGGCGATGGTAATATCGGGCGAGCTATTAGAGGTGCCCATAATTCTGGTGGGGGCTTCGTCATTCACTGTGCAGAATGTCGAATCGTCAATCTTTTCCGCCAGCTCCATCCTCCTACGATCGTTTGACAGGCAGGAATGCCAAAGATCGTGGTGCGCGTTAAAGTCGCCTAGCACCAAACGGTTTTCACCACGAAACAGCGCATCTATGTTCGGGTGATATCCTGTTGGGCAACATGTAACTGGGGGGATGTATATGTTAAATATCTCGAGCTCGACATCGCCTGACCGGACAGCTTTACCCTGACATTCTAAGGGTAATGTCCCTGCGGTCGATGTCACCATCGATTAAACGATATTGCACGGTGTTGTGCAGTATGAAGGCTAGGCCGCCACCATTATCTCGCTCGCGATCCTTACGGAAAACGTTGAAACCTGTACAATTCAGAAGATCTGAGCAGCTGTTTAGCTTGGTTTCTTGGACCGCAGCTATCGATACATGTTCCCGGCTCATATATGCAACTATCTCCTCGATCTTGCTCTGGAGTCCGTTGCAGTTAAATTGTAGGATTCGGGTTTGTAGCGGGTGTCCGGTCGTGATCCTGGGGGTAAGGGAGGTACGTGTAGGTGGTGGTTGTTGCAGCTGTAATACCCGCATGGGCGGTTGTGTTGATTGGCGACGCCACTGTATGTGATTGCGGGGGCAGACTCCTACAGCATGGGGCAATATACGACGCACTCCACTCTCGTGTGGTGCGCAGACCGGAACACGACAGAAAGTGACACCAGCCAGTACAAGAATTGCACTTGACTGATGTGACATTCCGGCGTATTACGGTCTAACACACGGAACAGACTGTGCGAGGAACCAGGAGTTGCTGGGTGGCTCTCGCACGAGGATTGGAGCTGGATGAAGGTTGGGGGGGAGGGTTGGTCAGACTGGGAGTGGCAGCGCAGTGCGCGAACATGGTGCAGGTTGCACAGCCGTTGAGGCAGATGTCGCAGTATTGCGTTGACAGCGTGGGGCCACGTAGCTCGTGGTCCACTCCTTATGTGTCTAAAGGCCTGAACATGTATTGCACCTAACCGAGGTGGAGTTTGGATGGAGCCTTCTAGCGCAAACGCAGCAGTAAAATTCCTCGGGGCCCGGGTTGGACTCGATGCCAGCACGGGTCAGGAGGATACGGAGCGACCTGCTGCTAGGCATTGCTCCAATAACGACAAACTTAACCTAGAACTTACCGATCCAAACAGGGTTAGATCACCGAAATAACAGCCCTTGGCCGGATAAAATCCGGGTAAATTCCGGTAACGTAGAACCGGCTGTTGTAGGAATTGTAATTATAATTTAAACTAACTTTCATTGCTTTCAGATGTACACAACATATTATATAAGGGATGTACATTATAAGAAAACAACGAAGTTTTATTCGATATGATGTACGAAAGCATCACGTTTGCTGTAAGTAACAAAAAATTGCTTTAAAAATAACAAAACAGCAAACTAATTTTAACTTGTTTGCTTGCAATATATGGTAAAATATTGCAACTTAATTGGAGTGTATCAATTTTTTATAAAAACATAAAAATTAAAATAATTTTATTAAAATATAAATAATTTAATATAAAGTAAATCATAACTAACTTCATATAAATTTGAGTTAGTTTTAACAAACCCCAATAAATACTAAGTATTATAAAAGAGTATTTTGTTTAACCTTTTACACCTACAAAACGTTGACGTTAAGCATAGCTGTTGTAGATGAAACTAAGCAATTTCCAGATAGAGGAATCGTTGCGGTTAATTAAACAAATATACGATATTAAAAATAAAACAAAAATATCATACAAACAATGATACTTCAATTTTAAACTTCTATGTACTTTTGTATGTTTTAAGTAAAAATATTGGTTGGGATTTAGAAGAGCATCCCCCCAATTTTGGGTTAAAAAGGATATGGTAGGGAGGTTTTCCAGATATATAAATATACACAATATATAAAATATATATAGTTGCCGCTGACTTATGGTTTTTGAGATATTTGCATTTAAAGTTCAAAAAGTCAACAATGTAAAGTACGCGTTTTTCGAATTATAACGAATTTTACACTTATATTATTATTATATTTTACACTTTTATATCCACTAACACTTCACTAATTATTCATACAATTACAAAGGGTTGCTTGCAAACAAAAAAAATATAAAAATTATACCGTCAATACAAAAGTCATCGTGCGATGGGTAATGCAAAATCTTTCAGTATTTGCCTTCTATAATAGTTCTACGCGAAAGAACTAAGGGCACCCCTTTTTGAATCGCCGCCGAAAGTCGCCAACCCAGAAAGGAGCTCTACGTGAAGAAACTGAGGACACTTCGGTCTTAGACCGAGCAGGGTTATTTTTGTTTAGCGCGAAAACCGCCAACGCTAAAATCAACAATGCAGCAAAGAATTCTACGCGAAAACTAATAATTTGTTTTTTATTTCCTGACATTGGGGTATAATCTGTTTTCTTTATTTTATTTGATTGCTTTGCAAAATATGTATGTAGATAAGATAACAGTAATTATTTGTTAGAATGCAACCATTTTATGTGTGAATTGAACAAAAGTAAAATATTGAATTAAAGTAATTTTTGCACTATTTAATTTAAAATAAATGTGTAGAAATGAATTAGCGAAGTTAGGGGATATAAAAGTTAAGAAAAAACGTTTACTTCGGTTGCCCCGAAGCTATAATATCCTTCACAAATACAAAAGCTCCTTGCTAGAACTTGATTCTGATCGTTCAATTTGTATGACAGCTATATGATAGTGATCTTATCTAAACAATTTCTGCGGGAACACATTGTTGCTTTAAACAATGACTCGTGCCTAATTACGTGAAAATAACTCGTCAAATAAAACAGTTTTCCATGCAAACACTTTATTCCGATCGTTCAGTTAATATGGCAGCTATATGCTTTAGTCACCCCATCTATTCAATTTTTTCTATAGCTATATGCTATAGTGATCCGATCTAAACAATTTCTTCAGAGGTTACACTGTTGCCTTAGAAACTAACTCATGCCAAATGTCGATATTACGTCAAATAAAAAAGTTTCCCATACAAGTACTTGATTCCGATTGTTTAGTTTGTATGGCAGCTATATGCTATATATGTCGTCCGACATCGGCCGAAAGGACAGGTGTAAAATTTTAGATCAATACTGAGGAACTAGTTTGTATATTACAGACAGACGGATAGATGGACAGACAGACGGACATGGCTAAATCAATTCAGCTCGTCATGCTATTCATTTATATATATATTTTTACAGGGCCTCCGACGTTCCTTCTGGCTATTAAAAACTTCGTGTCAAACTTAATATACCCTGTTCAGGGTATAATTAGTGTATATCGAAAACAAACTTAAAATAGTTGACTTTTCGAACTTTAGATGCAAATATCGCAAAAACCATAAGTCAGCTGCAACTATACATGTTCTTAATTTTAAGAACCTCCTCAATTCGTACCTACCCATTTTAACCCCTATTCTAAAGTTTACCCAAAATATTTCTACCAATTAAGTAAAAAATGTATAGGAATATATTAAATTAACAATAAAAATGTTTAAAGATACATACCATAGTCACGTGTGGAGCTACGGCGTCTTGGCATCTGTAAACAAAAGCTTCGAACGCCTGGAGACAAAATTCGTGAACTTCATCGTCATCACACTGACTGTACCTTTCTAAATACTTGATGGCTGTGTTAACGTGACTGCATAAACGAGGTCCAGATTGTCGGCTATATTATAAAATATTATGCTACATGTATTTCAATAGATATATTATACTATACCAAATCGATGCTAAACATTGTATGTAAGTTCGTACGGCACCAGAATTGGAGTTGTTTTCCAAACCTTTCAGAAGACGAACTATGACATCATCATAGATGCTATCATCCGCCAATGCAAGAAGATGTGAAAGTGCAATAATGGAACGTTTTCTAACGGCCTGTCGAGGAGATTCTAGTTGCGGAATCAACGCTTTTAAAATCTGATTGTGGAAAGGGACTAAAAACAATCCAAAACGCGAAAGCAAGTCGGTGAGTATATCCAGTGCTTCAAGTTTTACCGAAACGTCTTCCTATTCAATTAAAAAATTGTATACATTTAAAAAAATATTCCGAGTTGAAAACCCAAAAGTAAATGTTTAATATTATATTATGTATGTGTAAAGAAGAGAAAAGTATACAATTCACTAAGATACTATACATACACTACATAAACTAATTTTAATTATTATAAATATATATATTTATATATAGTTATTATAAAAACTATTCGCAAATACGTACACTTATGGACAAAATAATAGATATGCGTTTAGCTGGTACTGTTAGCCAAAAGGTATTTTGAAGTATTTTTCATTTTAATGTAGGTATTGGTTCCTATAAAGTCATCTCATACCATCCGAGAGATAAAATTCAATGTCTCTGGCGTGTTTAGTGCTTGAAATATCGTAGTCGTTTTAGTAGTTTTTAACAGTACCGTTATATGGGGAGGGGCGGAGTTGCCAACCGATTTCACCCATTTTCACACTGTGGGTAGAAGGGCTAAATATATTTGTTCCCAGTGAATTTTGTTATTATAGCATTAGCGGTTTAGGAGATATGCACATTAAACCTATTAGGGGCGGAACCACGCCCACTTTAAAAAAAGTTTTAACTGCAGATGCCTCCCTAATGTGATCCTGTATACCAAATAACAGTCTTGTATCTTATTGCAGAGCTTAGTTATGGCAATTTATTTGTTTTTGATTCATGGCGTTTTGTGGGCGTGGCAGTGGTCCGATTACGCTCATCTACAATACCAACCGTCTTACGGTACCAGGAAACATGTGTACCAAGTTTCATGAAGATATCTCAATTTTTACTCAAGTTACAGTATATATATACATAACCCTACATCTAACTCGATTAGTTTTAGGTGATACAAGCAACCGTTAGGTGAACAAAACTATTATACTCTGTAGCAACAAGTTGCGAGAGGATAATAAATTCAACGATGATGCCGAATTGTTGTTTCCTCTATTAATCGAGGAGAATGAAAAAGACCTTACAGACACAGATGTCGAAAATGATGCCACAATGGAAGAACAGGTCACAAATGTAGCTGACAACAAGTCTATAAACACAAGTAAATGCGACCACAAACCACGCAGGGGGCAGAAATAAAAGAAGAATGCGTTGAAACATATGAATATGAGGATGGAGCTGAAGTAATCGAAGATGAAGCATATGAGGAGAAACAGGTTTTGCACAAGCCGACTCAATTACCGAAAAAGTGCAAACATATTTTAGACGCAACACTGGGTACTGATGAAGAACCAAATGACGATGTCGAAATTAAAGTATCCGACGATGGAGGCAAAGCAACAGAAACTGACTCAGATGATTCTGTTTGGTACTACAACCATAAAGAGACTTTCTCAACGTGGTGCTGATAAATAAAAGGCCGCAGCAATACGGAACCCAAAGGCCAAGAAGAAGAAATGTATGAGACGTCCGCCAAGCAGTGAAGAGGAGAATACTAAACCACAAATAAGGAAGCGTAAAATTAAGGGTACACCGCCGTCCGATTAGAGAGAGAGAAAACGGACAAAACACCTTTGCGACGAATATGAAGAAATAGTTACGAGTAAATTATCACTTCTCACGTGAACAGTTATGTGACATGTCAACATTTGAAAGTCACAAATACGAATAATATGCAGCCACCAGCTACGATGTCACTTAGTTGACGAACATGACACGACTACATGCTGCAGGCAACTTTCCAGCAGTCACTTTTGTCGCCCGGGAGTATGTTGAAATATGAACATGTACGTTGGTGCCAAGAAGCATCATTTAGTGGTACGCCGCAGCATAGGATATATTTATAAGTTTAAACCACATACCATAATCTCAACTATCATACGAACATATACAGTCCACACATAATTACATTCTTGAGTTGTATAACACATGTTTTGAGTTGTTTACTTAAAAACAACCTCATGTGGTGTGCAATACATACATACATACACACATACATACACATTTAATTGTCTTGGCGAATCCTTTTGCCATCCCTACCAACCCTATGCAAATGGGTTAATTGGGATTATAACCCCGCCCACTCCCAATATTAACTACTAAAGGAAAAGCCGCCGGTGTCAAAATTTTAAGAGGGGTGGCAACGCCCACATGTAGGTGAAAACCCATATCACGCGACCTACTTGACTGATTTCAGCCAAATATTCTATTAATATTATCTAGTCATTTCTATATCACAGTGCTAAAATGGGGGAAATCAAAAAAAAACCACACCTACTTCCCATATAACACAATTCTAAATTCCATCTGATTATTTTCATCATAGTAATCAAGAATCAATCAATGTATTAGGATAAAACAAAAATTGTTCAAAACTATTCAAGCCGAATATATGGGCACATGTTCCAGTCCTATCGGTCAACCTGTTAGATATATTAGAGAAATTATCTCCGAAATCCTTTTCTAATAATAGTAAATCTGTATTTCAAAAATGGGTTAAATCGGACTAATAATTCCCTTAGATTTTCGAACTTCCACCGGACTTTATGCCGCATATATTGGCAAATATGTTATGTGAGTTATCGTAATATAATGGAGAGAGCGTGTTTCTCTAATAACATTATATCTTTACGCCTAAAATGGATAAAATCTGGTAAAAACTTGTCCTAGACCCCATATAGCTACTATCTGAAATTTCAAACATCTAATTGACTTTATAACGCATATACTGGTGATAGTATGTGCGGTACCTTAATGAAACTCAGATAGCACATTTTTCTGTTAACAATATTTAGTAATGCCAAACATAGGTAAAATCGGGTCAATGCTATCCCTATCCCCTTTTCAAACTTGTAGTTCACTTTGTACCATATATATTTGTCAATATGAAAGATATCTTTGCAAAATTAACTAACGTATAATATTGGACATACTACGAGCTTACGAATTACCCCAACTCTCATATGCTACAATACAAATATTGATTAATTGGAAATTCTAACAAGCTTTATGCCGAATATATTGGTCAGTTAGTTACATATTTATAAAACTGCTTGAAAATATGTTATATAAACATATGTTTGAGTATACCTGAGCAATATCAACAGTTTGTGCAACCACGGCAGACCTTTTCCGTTCCCATTATACCTTATATAGTGATTTCCAACTTGCCACTTGTTTTTTAATCGTTTAGGTTGGTCAAAATATGTGTTATTTGTGTGAAAATAAGTGGACAAGCTTTCTTAAAAATTAGGTAGTTTAGCGCTTAACATGAATGGAATTGGTTAGACCTTGGTCCAAACCTCATATATATATGTAATGAATTCCGATCCTCTGATTGACGTTTTGCACATCATCTTATATCTGAGCTTATGATATGTCTTATTCGAGAATGATTTTAATATAATTTTCGCTGATGGGAAGTAAAATATAGTCATAAAATTAATTTCTCTATGACCAATAATAAAACTTAATAAGATACAAATTTGATTGAAGCCTAAGTTCAGATGTAACCGAACATTTTATACTCTCGCAAAGACAATGGTATACTCGTTTGAGATTTCTTTGTTGATTGACCGATATTTTCGGTAGAAGGTCAACTATAGGCACTGTGGTCCACATATTCAGTACTTAGGGGCTTGAACAGTTTTGATTCGATTTAGACAATTTTTGGTCACAAGGTGGCATACTTTAAAAGTATTATTCACGCAAAGTTTTACCCCGATATAATCATTGTTGCCTGATTTGCATAGTGGAAAGTGAAAGAATCAGATGGAATTGAAAATGGTGTTATATGGGAAGTAGGCGCGGTTGTAATCCGATTTCGCTCATTTTCACGCTTTAACATAGAGATATGAAAATAATGTCATGTATCGAATTTGGTTGAAATCGGTTAAGCAGATCCCAAGATATGGGTTTTCACCTAAAAGTGGGCGGTGCCACGTCCACTGACTAATATTGAACGCAACTCCTATAAAGTCATCTCATACTATCCCAGAGATCAAATTTAATGTCTCTGGCGTGTTTAGTGCTTAATTTATCGCGCTTTTAGTAGTTTTTAACAGTACCCTTATACGGGGAGTGGGCGGAGTTGCCACCCGATTTCAGCTATTTTCACACTGTAAGTAGAGGTTTTAAAACCATTTGCTTCCAGTGAATTTTGTTATTATAGCATTAGCGGTTTAGGAGATATGCACATTAAACCTATTGGACGCGGGACCACGCCCACTTTAAAAATAAAATTTTAACTGCAGATGCCACTCTCTATTGTAATCCTGTGTACCAAATAACAGTCTTGTATCTTGTTTTGGAGCTTAGTTATGGCAATTTATTTGTTTTTGATTAATGGCGTTTTGTGGGCGTGGCAGTGGTCCGATTACGCCCATATGCAATACCAACCGTCTCACGGTACCAAGAAACATGTCTACCAAGTTTCATAAAGATATCTCAAGTTTTACTCAAGTAACAGCTTGCACGGACGGACAGACAGTTACTCGGATTTCAACTCGTCTCTTCATCCTGATCATTTATATATATATAACCCTATATCTAACTCGATTAGTTTTAGGTGGTACAAACAACCGTTAGGTGAACAAAACTATTATACTCTGTAGCAACAGGTTGCGAGAGTATAAAAAGCCTAGACCTGAAGATGCTGGCAACTTGCAATTAGTAAAATGTTCATTACATCCGATATTAGCCCTTACTTACTGGTTTTATATATGAATTGTTGACTTTTTCACATAATGAGCCAAAAGCTTTCCTATGTCCGTCCCCTGGTTGCAATATACCATTCTACTAATTAAAACGGCAATTTTTGTTTTACCTTTTCTTTTATAATTTTTAATAATTTTTTTTCCGAAAGCAACAGAAAAATTAACCATTAAAATTAGGTCATAAAGTTAGCACATATCCCTTTTTTCTGTATTTTTAAACATTTTTTGTAAAAAACATATTTTTCAACTGATCTATTAAATAATTTAAACATGTGTATATTATTTTAACAATGAGTCGGTACCGCTTTGTTGGGAATGATCTCAAAGATGAGAGT